TAACGTGTACCATCCACATGCATGAGCTCATGGCTTCATGGCTTCGTTGTGAAATAACTCAACAATATCGGAAACGATACCAAAAATCATTCGATATTATTATCAATCATCGCTTAATCATACGCCCTTAATTTGTGACCTGTACCTCTAGCACGAAATACTTTCGCCTTCGAATTTCAAAATGGTAATTGGCAGACCGTCTGTTCGACAAAAAATCATAATTAATTTAACGTTTGTTTTAAACTAACTGTGATAGTGAAGGTGTTATGACTATGGAAGAATACCTTTTACTTTTAGTTACAGCATACATAGAGTGAATTCGTCGTAAAACTATTCGAAGATTCAATATTTCTGACCGATGGATCCGGGAGATGAATCCAGGAGCAACTCATAGAATTCCATCTTTTGAATATAGACTCAAGATAGCTTCAAACGGTCTATTTGAAAACAAAAAAACACAATTTTGACTAACTATTGGCTAGCGTTTCTCAATATTTTTGACAGACCCTTTTCATGTACGCGAGATTAATAAAAATAACTAAGTATTAAAATAACTTTGAAGAGCAATAAAAAATATTTTAAAAACTATTTTTTACTCGATTTTTCTCGATTTTTTCTCGATTGTCAAAATTAGTTTCGTACTATACAAGTAGTTACCATTTCTCATACTAAGTTCACTTTACGGCACGTTCACGATTAACTTTTCATACTAAATCTTTTGATTGTGATTCGAAAAAAATACAAAAGTTTTTCGTGCTAGAGGTACTGAGAACAAAAATAGGGTGAGAACCGGTAAAACCGGTTATAACTGGTAGATATCAATAATAAAGCCCCAATCCCTTATCAGTGGTATCAGCACATCGTACGACGCAGATAAACAACGGTGTCAGACAGTAATCTCGAGTCTCCACAGCACATTGAGCGTAACATTGTATGCAAGAGACACTCTTATGTCGCATGGAATAAGGTCCTAGTCATAATGTAACGCTTGATGTGCAAGTGTACCTAAACAAAGCTACTAAGACGCGCAATATAAAACAAATACCTACCTACTTATACGATTAGGTACCTACTACAGTCATCCTGCTAAAGAGCGTGCTTTGCATAAACTATAGGCAATTAGGAAGTGCGTACCCGGTGGCAATTGATGGTTTATTATTGAAGCTCCATGTTTTATTTGAAAGCGATATACCTACCTACCTACTGTATGATGCACACTAATATTTTAGCATGTACAAATGCAAAAGTCTGTCTGTCTACATATGATATATAGATAGAGACTACTATAATAAATATTAATTACATATTTGGTAATTCATAGAGGTAGATTAAAACCTCAGAAACCTTTTGGAGAAAGGCATTTTCCATTTACATTTCGACAGATTGAAACCCATAAAGGCGAAGCCGCGGTCAGAAACTAGGTTGAAATGAGTCATCATCATCAGCCTTGGTGAAATTGCATATTGTCTCTGGAAAATTTCTGGCTGAGGATTGTCAATACACGTGTCATTTTACATAAATGATTATGTGTACTTTATCCCTTTACACACGACGATACACGTACGTGAGAGTAACTTTGAAAAAATCTCATGCCCATGTAAACTTGTTTTTGCGGCCGCAATCGGCAGCGATCGCTCGTGAGAGATATTTACTCGCACACAGTGCCGCTCATTTAGTGTTGGGACCTGTCAGTGCTCGTTTACTCGGACTTAAAGTTGACTGCATTTTTTGGAACGAGAGGCAGCCAGTGTAAATATTGATTTTATGTGGTTATTGTTGTTTTCGGATAAGTGTTATAGTTTTATTTTATTACGAAAACAGTGATTATCTGAATGGAATACTTTTATTGTTATTTCATTGCATAAATTAATAATTATTACTACCANTAAATAACTTAATGTATTTAAAATGTAAGTAGATAAGTAATATTAATTAATAATATTTTTTGTTTGCGCAATAAAGCACCTATTACTATTACACATTATGTCAATTTCCAAGCAAACCCGGGAGTTTTTGGTAGTTATTTATATGAAAATATATTTCTGATATTAAGTCCTAACAAATAATAGTAGTTACATTTCTGTTGGTTTTACGCCCAGATTCCATAGAAAAGTGCCCATCATCCTTTGTCAAAAGGTGGATATTTTTTAATTAATTCGATTTTTGTAAGACAATTTGCTAAAAGAGGTTTAATTGCTTGTTAAATAATAGCTTACTCTTTACTTATAGGGGTCTCTTACCAAATGAATACTTATGTGCTCATAAATTAGTAGTTTTCATTAAATAAATTAACTAAATAGTATAACACTCACTATCGTGAGACTAACAAATTATACCGAAGCCTCACTATCGTGAGGGCATACTTTCAGGGAAACTGAAAATTCAAAATTTTTTAAAGTATTTTTCTAATCTTATTTAAACTCTAAAATAACCCCTAAGTAAAGTTTTATTAAAATATTGACACTTTTTTATTCTCGTGTGTAAAGGGTTATGCGGGTATAGTAAATAAATAGTCGTGTCGTTTAAGGACTTTACTAATAACAATTTGCCGGTACAATTTCCTATTGATTTTATTATTCGTATCAATTTATTAAACTTCATAAAAATCGGCGGATCTACTACCGGTCGATAAAATATTCCTTTTGCTTTGCCGTAGTCGGGTAAAAATGGGTTGAGATTTCGGTTGAAATAATTGAGCAATTTGAAGATTTATATTTAAAATCAAATAGTGATAATCAACATTTGATTGAATAATATGCTATTACGAATGTTGTGTACCTAGTAACTTACCCAAAATGTGTTCAATTGAGTGTGCCTTTTCGTAAGTGCGTCCTAAGCCAATTTCAGGTGATCTATTGTTGTTGCCGGAGGTTATTGGGTCAAGGTGCGTTGCGGTTGCGTCACCGTTCGCTTATCAATATGTATGATTCATTTTATTTTACGTTGCATTTGTAATTCGCTGTTTATTTTATTAGTTTCCTTTGTTTTTGTTCACTGCGACGTTTCAAATTTGAAATAAATTCCTCCATATTTATTACAATCGACTACTGCACTGGTGACAAAAACAAAATTGTTATTGTCTTCCTTATTAATTTTACCTGGCTACTTAATTTTCATGATCGAAAGCTTTTCAAGTACTCATGGTCGGTCGTAAAGATAAATAACATAAAAACAATCTATACTTAGGTATCCACTCCATAACCTTTAAAATAATCCTTTGTAGGTAGGTACAAAAGATTGAAACAATCTTATCAATTTGCCACTTTATCATTAGAACGTTCTCGTATAAAACCGCACAGACATGATGGCACCTGGCAAACTATACCTAGTCTAAACCTACATCTTTATTACAAGGGACCCACGATTCAAAATCGAGACACACCCTTTTATGCTCAGTTGAATGCACAAGCCGGTTGCATTCAGGATACAATCCATTTAAAAGTCGACTCTGTCAATATGCGTTACAGTTTAAATTTAAATGCACTTTATCAATTTCAATTACCAGTCAGGACGGAATATTGGAGCTAGTTTTGTAGCGGTTAGAGTGTACATTGGATTGTGTGTCAAGCCAGCGGTTACCTAGTGACGTCACATCACGCCACTCGAGTCATAATGAGCATAATGATGCGTGCAATACATCGGTCATTATATAGATCACTAATTACAGATGATGAAAGAGGAAAGCAACACGAAGGAAAATAAAAGATATCGTTGTAATACATGTTTTTCGGTCAGTAGATACTAACCTACTTATTACGCCTGCCTTATTTTTCTGAATCTTGAGAACTTTCATTGTGTTTGAGACAGTTGAGTTTCAGGAAGCTTTCAGGTGTAAAAATAAAATTAAAGAAACCTGCTGACGTTGTTGATATAGTTTTATAAATCCAAACTAGGTGTACAAGCTGGTCAGTCAATTCGTTTAATCAAATTAATCAAAGAATTGACTAGTTTACGTTAATAACGTAGCGTGGGTGTCTTTCAATTTATTTCAAGCATAAGCCTATAAATAGGGTTTTCATTAATCATCATTATCATCATCATCATCATCTCAGCGGTCAGCCCTACCTTTATGAGGGTACCTACCAAGTAGGGTTTTATAAGTTTGGAAAATTCATCAATTAGGTGTACCAGGCTTGAATCTGATCGTAGTGCGTCACCTTAGATTAATAAAACCTAGATGGATAGTCTTCATACAAACGCTTCGTCAAGAGTGAGGCAAAAATCTTATGTCATTAGTGTCAATTTTGTTGGGGAGTGTAGACAGTGAAGGCGATTTTCCCGAAAGTAGGGAAATTTTTAATACGTTTTTAATTATTTTATAACTAACAAAAACAAAACGCATCATGTACTTACTTATTTATTGAATTCAAAGTACCTACATAATTACAATAAGATAAATCGACTGAAAAGTCTCGATTTCATAAAAAAAGGAGGTGTACATATTTGTACGGCGAACAATTGGGAAATAAATTTTCTTGTTACTGGTATCATTCCCGTATTTAATTTTTGAAAGCCAAATTCAAGCAAAATACGCGTCGAATCGTAGTATTTACTTATGAAATGTAACACTGGTCACTTTCTTTAGTTTTTCTGATGTATTTAGACACCCTTTCACAGCACAAACCGTCTTAATTAATTAAAAGTCGTCGGACGTGTTTACCAATTTTTCACTTTGACAGTTCATGTGACGTTTACGAGTAAGCCATTCTGGCTTACTAAAATCTGCCTCACCTTTCGTGCACTGACTATCTATCTAGGTTTTATTAATCTAAGTGCGTCACTAATAAGGGCCTCAATGTGCTTTAAAATAAAAATAATGTCAATCATACGTGTTCCCGTCGAGGCTTAAAACTTTCAGCGTGAATCATTGCTTCATGAATCATGATACCTGCTTAAAAATTAATTGAAATAAGTAACCCGCAGAAATATTACGTACATTTTTTTGTTTGATGATTGTGCTTTTAAATTTTATGGTTAACTTAATTAAAGTACACGGCCCGAGAAATACCTATGTAACACTGATTTAATTATATTTCAAATATCTATTGGCTCTTTCATCCGTAACAGAAAGTTTTCATATAGTAATAGTAAATGGTATTTGCAGTAGGAAAGAAAATAAAATATTTTGCGATGAATGATTATTAAAACATCTCTTTGGTATAGAGGAGCAATTTCAAAAACAAAACTAGTTAGGAATATAGGTAACCTAGTACTAGATTTCCAAATAGTATTTGCGTTTCCGAAACGCAAGTCAATAATGCGATAAACAGAGCGAAAGAGAATGCGTAACACAATACAAGCGGTCTCTCTCATGCGTCTCTGTCGCACAGTCCGCACGGAGCGCGCGGGAGCGAGACGAACCACGCCACGCTGCTCCTCTCCACGGCCGTCTCGCTTCTCCAAGCGTTGGCGTCCAGTGAGGCGTGGCCACGCCAAGTGAATAGACGCTGAACCCACGCGCGCGTGTCCCAAAAAAATAGCATGGCGTCCTCAGAAAGTAGCATCTTGCGTATCAGCGACCAAAAGACTCTGGAACTGGTCGAGCTGTACAAGAAAGAGGAATGCTTATGGGACACAACATCTCTTAGCCACCGAATCAAATGTAGGAGGCGTCAGGCCGCCGAGAAGATAGCTAGAATTTTGAACATACCGAATTTTGACGCGTCACATGTCATGATCAAGCTTAAGAACTTGAGGAACGCGTACTGCCAGGAGTTGAAGAAGTCGGCCATGCTTCAGAACCAGGGGGTGGGCGACGACGCGCCGAAGAAGACCAAGCCGAAGCCGCAGTGGTATGCTGTCATGGACACGTTCATTCGGCCGCACCTGAAGGCCAACTATACCCCCAGCGGTCCCACGTTGGTTAGTCTCTTTTTATTTACGCGCAGCGAGGCGACGGCACATTAGGATCTAGGGTAGTATCTTATGTTGAATTGCATTAGGTTCTATTTTGCAACAAAAATGTATAGCCTGATGTGCTGTCGACAGTTTATCATACATTTTCCATTTAAAAAAGGGCTTAGGCCCTTCTGACTTCTAGCGGCATATTCGTTTCGTACGCATGATTGTGTCTCCCTTACTCTTCAACAACTAAGTTTAAGAGTAAGGGAGACGTACCTACTTACTAGGACTATACGTTAAATTAAAGCATAGATTATTTGTTTGTGACGGACTAGATGACTGATAACCATACTTAAATATGTAAAAATATAAATAGTTGTATAAATAGTGTTTATGTAATTACACTAGATAAAAGTAATGTATAACTTCGGGTACAAATGTAGTTACAGATACTCGCAATGGGATTCGAAACTTAAATGCTGACTTGGCTGACGTTATCGCGCTAAAAAAACACACTATTTTTAATGCGTTTGATAGAATAAATAGGTCGCGTCTACTGGTCCTATTTACATTGTGGCGCAGCGGTTAAGTGTAGGGTATTTAGCATTATATCAGTTACATTTTATCTCAACAATACCCCTCTTAACCGATTAGTGGTGTATTTATGGCTAATGTCGTTAAAGCGTTTGTTTGTATAATTGCAACAGGATCAAAAAACTAATTAATTACAAACAATCACTTACTAGAAAATGGGATCTACGATTTCTAATTAAACCGCCGAAACTGAACTTAATGACTAAGTTCTTAAACTAATAAAGTATTGAATTGTAGATAATTTTGATAGGAATAATTTAACTTTTCCACCATGAAATGTTTAATAGTCTAGTGATTAGAGACTTCCCCAGGGTTCTGGACTCGATTCCCAGGTTACAGAACACTTTTTTTATACTACACTCAGCGGCACGAAATTTGGCCCAAGCCTAAACACCCAGATATGAGGCCAAATAGATGTTGTATACCTAAGTTTCGTGTGACATGTTAACAGAACATTTGTTTTTGTTAATTTAAGAGGCTAGATTTATAAAAAAATTTACCGACCATTAGTCTAAGGTCCAATTTGCATGTTCTCTAGAAAACGTAAGTCGCACTTCGCGAAGGTATCGGAGAAGTTCTGGTCCTGGATCAGGTCTTCGAGTATGCAGGTTCTGATCCTCCATTCTTCTTCGTATTGTGTGCTCACTGACATTCATGAGCTTGCTGTTTGTAAACGCTGGCGTATCTCAAACGTAGTGAGAACCCGATTTCTTGATATTGCAAGCACGATAATCGGGTCATCGCGCGCTGACATACACCTTAATTCCCCACTTCTTGGTCTTCCTGTGTAAAAGGCGGTCTGGTCATGCCTTTTTAATGTGTATCTTAAGTTTGTACGCCATAAATTGAAAGTTTCAGCCATCTCCCGCTGCATACGCCCTTGACTTCTAAGCAACACTATTTGAGCAACTTGAGCTGGAGTAATGGGCATTATTCTCAAATTATGGAAACGAGTATTATTCTAAGATTAATTTAAAAACAAAAAACAAAACGCCAAACCCTTACAACATTTAATATCGAATTTAAACTTACCCGTACTCTTTACGCTCCAACAATGAAATGCGTTTCTAGAGTCAAAAAAGTTAAACAGACGCATTTTTTTATGAATCTAGCCTCTTAAATTAACAAAAACAAATGTTCTGTTAACATGTCACACGAAACTTAGGTATACAACACCTATTTGGCCTCATATCTGGGTGTTTAGGCTTGGGCCAAATTCCGTGCCGCTGAGTGTATAATGTTATTATCTATTACGCTCATTTAGAAATAACTTTTTTCTACATCATCTTCTCTTGGGGGAGGCCTTTGTCCAGCAGTGGATGTCATTTGACTGAAACCAACGAACAAACATCTTATCATAAATCAAATTTCAGGTAATAAATGGCGGTATAATCAAACGGGAACCTGAGCCGGAGCCATTGGACGACCCGGACGAGCTCTGGGACAACCCGGGCTCCGAGGAGGAGAGGCTGTCTGAGCTACCAAAGACCACAGACACCTGCGTCGACAGCATCGACTTCGATTATGAACAGTACAAGCGACCGGCCCCGAGCACCAGCAGCAACTCACCAAAGCGAATGAGGAGTGAGAGCCTTCTAGCAGAAAGTCTGAAAGAAGTATCCACAAATCTAGCTGGTCTCAAAGAAGATGCTGCTAAGAATCAACATATGACAAAAGAAGAATTGCATGACAACTTCGGTAGATATGTAGCGTCACTGATGCGGCTTCTGCCTATGAAGAAAGCTTTGATGCTGCAGCCAAAGATCGTGAACATGATTTCATCTGAAATTTTAGACTGTCAAGACGACATTTTTGACTGAAAAGAGGGGTTTTAGGACTATGAATGACTAGGTATTATTTAGAATGTGAAGGGTAAGGTATAGTGTCTTAATCCTATGCAGTGATTGTTGATGATTGAAAAGTGAGTTTTAGAGGATTCGAGTTTTTAGTTTTAATAAAAGTTGTTGTATTTGAGTCACAGAATTAAGTACTCTCTTTTGCTTCAGACAAGGGTTACACCTGCTAATATGACCAGTTGCCCTAGTAGCAATTTTTTTTTTAATTTTATGAGTAGAGAAGTTGATTTTATCCATATGGTCTATCCACCAGCTGGGTATTGAAGACGCGTTCAATATTAACAATTATTTGTAATTTATCCATCGTTCGGTTGTATGTAATCCATCGTTCTATTAGTTAAATAAACAATTTTAAATATTTATTTCCCGGTTTTTTATTTGAATGTGTACATACAGGGTGGAATTTTGTAATGCCACCTGGAGGGAAAGTACTCTTAATACTGTAGATAGAAAATTTAACTGAAAGATAACATTCCTTTGTGGCATTATAAAATTCCAACCTGTATAGTATTTAAAAACAACTTACTAACTCGTAAAGAAGTAAACAAATACAATATGATCAGATATTTTTATTTAATTTAAGATAAAGTCTGTCTGCATGATGAATGAGTGTTGTTGAGTGAGGGCTTACAAATTAGGTCACTCTTTTGTATCCATTAAGTCACAAAATCAATAATAAAGTGCTCCCGAATGATATTAAGATAGGTACCTATACACAGGTATCTTAATATCATCGAAATGCCATTCGATTGTTTTGTTTATTAATGTAAGAGACAATCTCAGTCGATGACGGAGTTTGACCTTTGTATTAAAAGATTTTGAAATAGGTAAACATACCATAACACACTACTTAAATTACTTTTAATTTTTGAAGACAAAACCATTGGTAATTTTAGGCAATGATTTAATTTCCGAGTGGTGTTTTTTCACAAAGCGTCGTGTGACGTGTCCCATGCCACGTACGCACTAACCCTAAAGCGGCCATCTATCCAACCAACAATAAAAATCTAAACTCCTGTTTACAGGCCCATAATAACACCGGACTACATTCATTACTCCGCCAACTTGCCTACGTGACTGCAGGCAGACCAAACCGCGTGGGAGAGGGACAGTGATACGCGTTACGAAGCGTCTAAAAGAGAAAGGGCATCGGGGTGAAAGACCGCACGAGCTAGAGATTCACCAACTGGTTTCCCCTGGTTTTTTGGCAGGGTTAAGATTTTGTGTGTTAGGGGTTGTGGGATTTTGTTTCCCCTGGCGTTTTGAGATAATAGAATTAGAGAGTTATTTAAGTCGCCGCTTACGAACTTTCAAAAGTTAAGCGATTTCAATTATAACTTAATGTTTTACTGTTTGAAATAGTGCTACTTTGTATGTAAACTGTTTTAATAACCTGAAACACTGTTTGGTTTTGGTCTCTTTTGTGTTAGTTAGTAGTGTAATATCTACTTATCTACAATCAAAATCAGAAGTCTAGAAATAAATAATATCCAACTAAAAATTGTTTTTGGTCAAGTTCAACTTTAGAGGTTCTAGGAGAGTAAATTCCGCAGATAATAAAACACAGTGTAAAACTATAAACGAGATAATAGAATAAATGAATACACCCTTATGAAGCCCAAGGCACAGCTAGTAGTTACATAAACTCTAAAAAAACCTACAATAATAAGGAAACGCACAACAAATAAATATAAATCAATTACGACTATAAATAATTAACGAAATTCTGCGAAATGCTATCTACTTAATTAAAAAAGTTCATTCGATTGTTTACAATCGCATCAAGAAAAAGTTATGGGAACGCGAAGAAATTTGAAATGCATTGTGCATTGGAAATGCACTTTTTGTCCAAATTTCCCACAATAAATGCAAGTGAGTTAATGCATTTCGATGACTAATGGCCACCGCACAAAGGGCCGTAAAGCATTGTCTTATTTTTGGCTTCTTTATTTTTACTGAAATGAAGCAATTTATGATGTAAAGGCAGTTTCACGTGTTTTACTTCATTAGCACTTAAATAAAAGTTTTACAGCGGAAATTGACTTTATTTGTATGTAAAGTAACTTTTCTTTTTGTTTAATTCATGCCAATTTTGATGACTTATTAGGCATGACGTGCTGTTAAAGGAAATAGATTTGTGTCAAAATACTTGAAGGCTGTTTAATTAAATATGGAATGAAGGTATGGAGGGAGACCCACTATTTATCAAAATATAAGATACAGGTAAAGTAGCAGTTCTACATGTGAAGATCAGGTAAAGTATTTACATAATTATATGCTTTTGGAAACTTTTATGTATATGAGTGTGACCGTGATTGTGATCGGGTGACAAGATTTAATGCTAACGCAGTTCAGTCATAAATAATATACATACATTAAGTATTAATACAATAGAGGCACGGGGCGGTAGGATTGCCTGCTTTTTTGGACATTAAATTAGGTACTTATGTGTACATTGACCATCAGGTAAGGTCGCAAGTTCAAATCCCGCTAAGAAAATTTGTAAGTAAATGTTATTAACTTTTTTTAAAAATAAAACTGACTTCAAATGCGTGAACACAAAAAAAACTAAAAATTAAAAATATTGCGTATAAAAAAGTTCATCCCCAATTTTCCACCCTTGGGGGTGAAATATTTTCTTCAAATTCGCATGAAACCACCCTTTTGATAATACCTATTCAACAAAAAATAATCGTTCAAATTGATTTATAATCGGCGGAGTATATTGCGTATAAAAAAGTTCATCCCCAATTTTCCACCCTTGGGGGTTGTTTTTTCTATTATTAAATTTAAATGGGACCACCCTTGAGGTATTACCTATACGCCGAAAAAAGATTTGTTCAAATCGGTTCATAATTGGCGGAGTTATCGCGTAACAAACATAGAAAAAAAAACATACGGGTCGAATTGAGAACCTTCTCCTTTTTTGAAGTCGGTTGAAAATACGCTAAGTTATTCACAAGGGTTATATTTTATTTTTCTTGATAGAAATCAATCAGTGTTGCACCCATGTTATTCTGTGATTATGATAAGCATGGCATGTTTGTTTGCAGACTGCAAAGATGTGATAACACCCAACACGAATGTACGACGATGGCACATCAAGCTTTACACCATTGCATCTAATGCGGTGGTAATAGATGCTATTAAGCTGCTAAAAATTCAGTCTGATGTGCTCTCAACTGTAAAAGAATCAAGTAAATATGAAAAAAGACAAATTTTTGTACACGAATTTTTCGGTGCATGTTATTTTTTTGTCGAACGCAGTTAACAACAGCATATCAATTTACCATTTCGTGTATCATTCTATATTTTTCCTTTAACATGTTTATGCAAAAACACCGAGTAACTCAGCCAATTTTAAATGCATTACGTTCGTGCTTTTGCCAAGCGAAAATCGCCCCTTATAATGGAGATGCAATACGTATACATCGTCCTGGCTCCGCGCTCTGCTGAGGGATTCTGGACTTTATTTGTAGTGTTTTGAAAAGGGAAAGTGGTGAAATTAGCTTGTACAATATTTGTCAATTTTGCCTCGTGTCGGATCGCACGTACACCAGTATTTAGCCTTGTTTCCAGGGCTCAGATAAACACGCGTCAAGCGCGAGTCGCGATAGTTTTGGATATTAATCATAATATGTTTTCCTTATTCATTATCAGATATTTGCGACAAGTGTTATGTGCTATTATTTATATTTTCATGTACAATACACTTGTCTTGCTTGTATACCTTTCTGTTAAATAAAGAGTTTTTATTCTATTCTATTTTAGGATATCAGAACACATGTTCATTCAACTTCAATGTGACTTTACTTATTCATTTAATCAACATTAACATTTTGAGACAGCATTTGGACTTTGTCTCTACTAATGTTGAAATAACTTGCTGCTTGGTTGTAATGAAAAATACCTAGTTTTCGTTTATCCACCATATCCATATCCATCCATAGTTCCAGAGTCGTAGGTATCCCTCTAGAAGTAGAGGTTCTATAAAAATAATACATAAAAATTTATTCGCTTTGAAGAGCGTGGAAAATATATCGATTCTCCAATATTCATGCTCATTGCCGTACCCTTTTCCCAAAATGTCTGCCGATTCCATCTGTCAAAAAGCAATAAATCAAACCTGCCAGTTAAAAAGTCGTTTGTCAATCGCGTTTGGCATTTTAAATGCTTGCTGCTTTATTTCCTACCCTCGTCCAGTCCGCCGCAGATGACCACTTCAATTTTATTACCAGATGAAAGGTGCAATTTAGGTAAGTACCGAATTTTGGAAATACAGCATAATGCATCGACTCTTCATTCAAAGACGTGTTTTCTCTTTGTTGTGACTGTATCTACCCTTTTGCAATTAATTTACTGAAATTAAAAATTTAAAAAAATATCCTTGGACACTTTACACTACGCTTCTAGTCCCAAACTAAGCAAAGCTTGTACTATGGGCACTAGACAACGGATATAAACATACTTAAATACTTTTTTTTTGTAAATAAATACATATTATACATAGAAAACACCCAGACCCGTCACAGAAATTAAAAATCATCATTTAAATTTCTGCCCGGCCGGGAATCGAACCCGGAACCTCTCGGCATAGTAGTCCGTTCTACACCAAACGGCTGACAAAACAAAATAATAATGATATAAGATTAGAATTAATTAATAAACTGGGGCATGCAATGTTTTTAATGAGTAATACAGTTAAAGGGACTCTACCATCCTCCTCTGCTAAGCTTTTTGCGGAAAAGCTCATTACTCTTAATCTCAATTTGAAGTCCTATTACCATTAATTTTTGGAGTTTAAATTAATGTCTGGAGCGTATCTAGTACGTATCGTGATTTAGTGGGCTTAGACTGGACAAGCAAGCAATAAATACACCGGAATGACTGTAAGTTCCTGATTTACATTGATGATGAATTTATAAATTGCCATCTTTTTTGCAGTTTATTCATCTGTATATTCACACCCCAACATTAAAGTTATTCGTCGCTTGTTCTGGAATGCGAATGGGCAACTCTTTAAAGGAATCACGGGGTTGTTCATGACTTGGTCGTGACATGTGTCGTGAGAGACTTGATTTATTAACATAGACCGTGAATCAAGTAGGTATTTCATAATTTTTCCACTACAAAGAGTATGTTATTGTCCTGGAAAATTTGGTAGGTAGGTAAATAAACGTAGTCACTTGTATTCTTAAAGATTATTCATTCTGAAACATAATTAGTTACCTATACTTGGTACCACTCTGTCACACACCAGTTGACGCTGCCAACTAAATCCAATAATGCCTGAGATTAATTTGCGATATCAGATTAAATACCTTGGAATAGACAAATTGACTATTTTTTATGTGTTTCGGCT